ATTTTTAATTGAGAAAAATTCTATATATTTGCCATGTATGTTATTTTGAAATATGTATACATTGTATAATGGCTACACTGAGCTGGTTTATATATTAGCTCACGTACCATTTTTTGTGATGAGAATTCAAAATCTCTTAAGGATGCTCAATACAATACGTTGTTATTAACTGTAGTCACCATGTACAATAGATGTTTTTAACTTATTTCTTCTAATTGAAATGTTATATCCTTCTACCGATATTTTCACCTACCCCTATCCTAGACCCTAGTGATCACCATGCTACTCTTTACTTCTATAGGTTTAACTTTTTTATTCTTTACATGTAAGATCAAGAAGTATCTGTCTTTCTGTGCTTGGCTAATTTCATTTTACATAATATCCTCCAGGCCCATCCATGTTGCCAAAAATGTCAGGATTTTATTCCTTTTTATGGTTGAATAGTACTCGTGTGTGTGTGTGTTTGTGTGTGTGTGTGTGTGTGTGTGTATGTGTGTGTGTGTGTGTGTGTGTGTGTATCACATTTTCTTTATCTGTTCATCTGTTAATGGGCACTGAGGTTGATTCCATATCTTGGCTGTTGGGAATATTGCTGCAATAAACATGAGAATAAAGATGTCTCTTCAACCTACTGGCTTTATTTCTTTTGGAAATATACTCAGTAGTGGGATTGCTTGATCGTATGTTAGTCCTATTTAAATTGTTGCTCTGTTCACTATTTCATAATGGCTATCTTAATGTCTATCAACAGTGTATACGGGTATTCTTTTCCCTGATATATAAGGGTATTTTCAACAGTCTACAAGGGTTGTCTTTTCTAGTGCTTATCTCTCATATTTTGGTAAAAGCTAGATGTAAAACTTTTATGGCTCTAACATGTGAAGTGGATGTGCATCTTTTTTTTCTTTTCCTCTTTGTTTTTAATACATGTGCTGTACCAGACCAAAATTTCATGTTATTCAGGCCTATTAGAAGTGGTGATTCAATGGTATTAAGCTCTATTTGTATGACACCTTCTTTGTACCGTGCACAATCACTGGCATTAGTTCACTAGGTGGTCATAAAGCTGTGATGGATGCAGGATCTGATCAATTTTACATTTATTCACAATCATGTTAAAGGCAAAGGAACAGTCCTTTTGGATCACTTGCCTAAAGTCAATGTTTGCCTGTTAATCCTAAGCAGTCTCTTTTGCCTAAACTAGACAGCATTTCTAACAATTATATTATCGAGGAATCAGCTATGTGTTTACCTGAGGAATGGGAATAACCAATGTGAGGTTGCACACTCTCTCCTTTTTCTGGATCACACATGAGACACAGCTCATAGTGCCTCTCACTCGTTCTTCTTAACCCGTTTTATATCATCTAATCTTTCCTCAAAAGAAGCAGGAACCATAATGAAGCAATAAAAAGGGGTAATTAAAATATTTATAGTATACTGATTGCTAGTTTGTGCTCACCACTGTATGCATTTTTTGAAGGTATTACTATTGTAGATAATCTAAAAATAGAATAGTAAATACATATTTTTAAAGTGACAGAGTTAAAATTTTTAAACATATTTTTCTTGGTGTGTAATTTTTGTTGTTGCTGTTTCTGCTCATCAGTTTTATTTTTTCTACTCTGAAAAGCCATTTTGTAGAGTCCAATTCTTTTTACTTTTATCCACAGGGAAGTCATAATCCCTTACTTAAATAGAAGCTGGTTACCACGGTAATCATTCTAATGCCACTGAATCAATATTTTGATTTTGCTGGCATTTAATGTGAAAAGAAAAGACATGCTAAGATTTAAAAAGTCATTTTTTTATATCTTTGTTATACTGTTGATAACCAGAAAAATTGTAAAGAAAACATATGTTCTGTAATGAACTCCAGTTGTCACACAATGATACAGAACTGAGAGTTCATAAAAGAACAATCTACACATTTATATATTAATATTTTTGACTTTGAGTACACACATATGTACACATGCATTTGGACTCAAGATTTTTTCCCCATTCCTGAACTGTGCCCTATCTCAATGCTATTAGAGGACATGACTTGGTAGAAGAGATTTGCACGTTATCTACTTTTGCAATTGCCATTTTGTTAAGTGTTCTGAAGAGAAAGTAGAATTCCCATGAAGAATCACTTCTCTGTGGAAGGGAAGCCTACCATTTCTGCACTGGGTCCTAATAACTCAAGTCACCCACTGAACACTCTCAAAGATCCATTGCAGCTGAGGGTTTCTCCATCTGTCCCCAGAGCTCCTTTTTGAGGAGAAATGTTGGATTTGGAGTTGGTGTTTAATGAGCTCACTACCCAGCAAGTGTTTTTTCCAAGCCTAACCAAGTCTTTGCTGCTGCTGTTTAGCCACATCTGCTTTTTTGTCTTCAGAAGAAATAAAGCTTGCTGAGCTGCTGCCTTCTGTTTGACAGGTAGCCACTGGGAGCCCACCATCCTTGGATGGTGAAGGTATCTGAAAGAGAATTATCAGACTCTCTGCCCCAGGAACTAGCTATGAAACATCTCAAATGAATGAGAATCCCTTCTATTTTTAAGACAAGTGAAGTGTCACTCAAATTTCTTTTCTGTGGGACAGTAATCACGATTTTCTACTTTCACCCTAACTAGCCCAGCTCCCCCTCCATGAAGGAGCTTTTCTGAGGTGTATATTTTACACTCTTTTCAGAAATGTTTCTGCCAGCATGACGTTGACAACACATCCCTTACTGGCTACTTTGTCCCTCTCATCTCTTTTCTCTCTTTGGATGGTTCTTTTATTCCCCTTTATTCTTAAATTATTCCCAGCTGCATTCAGGCCTCCCATCTTTCCGAGATCACTTTCTTAAATCAGTCATTTTCTTTTGCAAATAATCTAACAGAATTTATTATGTAGTTTTCTGACAGTAGAAGTATGTGAGTGGTGAATTCTATACAATCACAGAAAATAATGAGAAATGAAAAGCACCATGTATCAAGGAAACCTATGAACAACATTTAAAATCTGCAAAGTGTAGGCCTCTGGGGCCTTTTAGTGTACTACTGAGTTAACTAAACACCTATGAATACATTGTTTCTAAAAACATGGATGTGTCACAAATTGAATGACCTACTCATGAGAAAAAGAATCAAACATCTAATACTCTAAGAAGGCAGAGGAATAACTGAGTTTTACACACATACACACCACACACACACACGAATGTTCATTCCAGTACTATTCATTGTAGCTGCAAAACAGAACCAATCTGAGTATTCATCAACAAGATGATAATTAAATTACTGTGCTGTATACTTCTCTCTGTAAAAGTTGATTCTTGACAAGTTGCACACCATGGAAAATAGTTACAATAGAGTAAGTGAAACTACAAAACACAAGACTCTATGCATTATGATGTCAATTTTGCAGATATGCAGTCGGATACTTCTTATTCACATGTATGCCTTAACAGCATTTACTTACATGCACGGCATTTTTTACATCTGTATAGTAGGAAAAACTGAAGCCACAGGAGGTATTTTTTTGTAGAATTTATAGACTGACTCCATCTCCAGGCATTTATTGGTGTTATTCAATATGACTGAAGATACTGGTTGTTTTTGGCTACAGGCACCTAGGCACCAATGAGGGAGAAAGGAGAGACAAGGATGGAAGAAATGGCATGTACCTCATAGGTGTCTGATCTCATGGACTGCATATAAGAATCTATGGAAAGATTAGGCCAGAAGGCCAGGGAACTTTCATGAGGGACTGGGGAGCCCATGTGACAATGAACACTGCCTAGCTGATGTTGCCCTCTGCTGCAAACTATGGTGACACTTGGCACCCTAGGGCCTCAGAGAAGCTTGCTGTGGAGAAAGGAGAGTGGGGCAGAAGAGTAGCTCTGGGACCTGGTGGAACTCCTCTCTCAAACGGGCCGCTGGCAGCATTGGGAACCATGAAGTGTTTTCCACAATTGCCATGTAAAGATCTGAATGTGTCTGTATAATGAGCTGAGTTTGTACACTCCCCTCTCCCAAATTAGAATGTTGAAAACTTAATCCCACAATGATTGTAATTGGAGGTAGAAAGGGAAGGAGAGTAGTGTCGTCATGAATGGGATTAGCACCCTCCTAAGAAGAGGCCAGTGAGGCCTTTCTGCCCTTTGAGGATACAACTAGCAAGAGGACCCCAACAGAGCTCTCAGGCTTCCAGCCTCCAGAACTGTGAGAAATAAAGTGCTGTTGCTTATACGCCACCCAGGCTATGATGTTTTGTTATAGCAGCCCCAAATGACCAAGGGTGTCAACACTTAAGGCTGCTTTCCCACAAAGAGTTCTCAAGAGTAACTCAGGGAAGCTGAGACTCTACTAATTACGTAAGGCCTAAAGAGCTGGTGAGATCTGGTGTTAATGTGACTTAATTTATAGTCATAGACCAGCAAGGAAGTTAGGATGTATTTGATTTGTATATTTCATAGCTGAGAAAAAATACAGACAGGTAAAGGTAAAAATCGGAGACATAAAGTGCAGCCTAAGGTTATAGTATGCACACACATATGCACATAAATACATAAATTCATATTCACTGGAAAGAAATCCACCAAAATGCTGAAAATGATTACTTCTCAAAGATGAGATTACAAGCTTTTCCTTCTTGATATTTTTCTACATTAAAATGCTTACTTAATAATCAAAGAATAATATCTTTCATTGTATAAATAATATAAGAAAATACAAATTTTAGATATATTTCTGGGCAAAATAATTTTTGAATAATTTGGAGCTTTAAAGGATTAAAAAGAAACTCATATATTGCCTTCCCTCTCTGAACCATCAGAAATGCATTCTTCTGGAAATTTGACAACACAAAAATAAATAACCTTCTCCTCAATTCTTCTTTTCTGAGACTTCAGGGTGATGGAGGCAGAATTACGTGGCCCAGTGAGGAAGGCAGTTGCTCCTGGGTATGCTGACCTGAACACACTATCTGAAAGAGATTTCTAGGTGACGTGGGCATGGCGTGTTTTACCTTCAGTCCTCTCAGGGGGTTTCCCACTCTTACTGGCTGCAGTGCTGCTGACCGTCTCTGATGAGGTGCTCAGCTTGGTGCTGGGGTCCCGCTTGGGCTTGGGGGGTGGTTGTCTCCGTGAGCCACAGCTGCTGTCATCATCTGTGCCCCCAACGGAGTGCAGGGACTGTGATCTCACAGAAAAGCCACTGGAGCAAGGATGGGGAAGTCTGTCCTGAGGAGCAGGCATCGTCATGAATCCCATGCGGAAATGTTTGCCCACGTAACTCCCTTCGTGGCCTCGCCCTACTTCTCCACCTATGCTGTAAAAGAAAGCAGACCAAGAAAACATGAAGATAAAAGGAGCCAGTATTTACAAGATCATACACGTGAGCATATTTCTAACAGGGAAATTTCAAATCTTCATTTTAGTCTGGTGAAAGGCTGCCTTTTGAAACAAACTCAAGTAGCATGAAAGCATTCTAAGTTGTGTTAAATTTTGTTTTTCCCAAAGGAAAGAAAAAATACTGCATAGCCCAGTTATCTTCAATCACTTTATTTTTACTTTGGGGGAAATCTTAGCAGTGGCTTAAAATGTAAACAAGGATTCCATGACAATGAGTCATAGATTCCTTTGCCATGTAACTCAGTTCTAGTGGTCAGCACTTGAAACTCTTGTCCGCTTCATCAATACCATTCCTGCTTTTATCTGCTCAATATATTGGAGAACAACAATAATAAAGGGAAAGAAAGAAAGAAAGAAAGAAAGAAAGAAAGAAAGAAAGAAAGAA